GCTTCAGGGAGTCCCCTCCGCCGCCGCTGCCCCCGCCGCAAGAGACCACAGCTGCCGCCTTTGGCGGCGGCGCCGCTGCCGCCCTGGCTGCGACTGGAGCCGTGTGGCCCGCCGCTGTCAGGCTGAGGGACCTGCTCTCCAGATACGCCTCCAATTCTTCCTCTGTCCGGAAAAGCGGCACGTCCACTGGCCGCTTGCGCTGTCGCTGCTGCGGCGGCCCCTGCGGCGGGCCCTGCCCGTCGCGGTCGCCGCCTGCGCAGTCATACGATCCCAGGGTGCCCGCGGACCCGCCTTCCGGGCGCCATGCCTTCCTGGAGGGCCGCCTTGCAAGGCTGGTGATGCCTGCGTGCAGCAGTGGCAGCGGCGGCGGCGCGTTGGCGCCAAAATCGGTCACCGCTTCAGTTGAATTATAAAGCGCATGGTATCTGCGCACCAGCGAGGTCTTCGTCACTGCTGTCTCCTGTTAAGTCTATCATGCCCCTGAAGCGCGGCTATACGCGTGAATTTTTGAAGTGATCTTGCTCGCACCTCTAGCTGGCCCGAATGTAATCTAGAATTATCATGCGTAATCAAAGATAAACAGTGATGATGACATGGGCGCCGCCCCAGTCTGACAAATTCAAGACTCGGCTCGCTAATGAGCTGAGTCAGACCCACTACTGTATTTGTGACAGGAGCGGTAATGCTTGCATCAAGCAAGTGAGAGGCTACCATATACTGAAGTACGCAGGTGCATAGATGTTACCATATGTTTGAAACGCCAGAAGGTGTTTCCAGGTGCCATGTCAAACCTGCTGCGCCTGCTCTGCGGGCCAGGCCCCGAGCTTTCATATGGTACGACCATGGTCGGCCCAGATTGCCTGGTGAGTCTGGCGCCGTGTGGCTGCAGCTCACGCTGCATTGATGAGCCATTCTGCATGAGCATATGCGCAGTCAATTGTGTGGCAAGCAAGCTGCACGCTCACCCCGCATCAGCGGGCCGAGTGCACACCACGCGCAAAAAAGTGTGGTTCAATCCTTAAGCTTCCCGTGGGGGTCCGAACTTGCAACAGCGACGTTGGACGCCACATCCGCACTGCTTGCATGCGCACTTTGCAGATCACGCCAAAATTTCTGCATCGTCCCAGCCCTTCAAACCCTGCAGATACCTCGTGGCAATCAGCCGCAGGTTGGCAGAAGGTAGCAGGACAAGATGCCCATGCCACAAAACAGATGATGAAGCAGTGTTTGTACGTGGGGCAGATGACTGTAAAAGTGAGGGGCGGGCCATCAATCAGGATGCTTGCTTGCCGGGGACGCCGTCGTCTCTTCCCCCAATCACGTCACTCCCCGATCCCCGGCGGCCGGTAGGTCAGGCTGCCATACTCCTGGGGTGAGTACATGCTCTTGGTCACCCAGCTCAGCAGCTCGGCCCCGCCCTCCGCCAGCGCCTCCCGGGCCTCCTCGCTGTGCAGGTGGCCGTCCGAGGCGGCGGCGCGGATGACGGCGACGGCGACGGCCGCGGAGATCTCGCGGATGGACTGGTGGGGGTGGCGAGGAGGATAAGTGGTGGCGAGGGGGGCTTGGTGGGAGTGTTGGTGGGGTACGCACACCCGCACGCAGTGTGTCGGTGTGTGTGTCGGCGTGAGGTGGGGTGGAGGGTGAGAAGGGCAGGAGAGGGAGCAAGCACGCAGGCAGGCAGGCTGCGGCTTTGTGTGACCAATGCCGTATTCCAGCCAGTGTGTGCTCCAGCAGACTGAATGGTCGCATGGCCCCCCGCCTACCCCCCTCACCCCCCCCCCCACACACGCACGCACACACACACACACAC